TGCCATATGAAAATAACTCCTTTCGATGCGTAAGTACACCAGAACAGCGTGACAGAAAGGCATAGCAGTTTTAACGAACAATACCGTAAACAGCGCACATTTTCTTTGGATGAAACAGAATTGTAAAAGCAAGAATCGATTTTAGGAACTTCAAGTTGAAACCATAACCACAACAGCAGGGAGCTGCTTTATGCATTAAAACAGTCTGCCGAGTTTAGCCGTATGATGAAACTGGCTGAAGCTGCTGTTTCAGCAACACGAAAGAAACACAGGATGGGCGCTGACAGTGAATCAATGCGACGGCCTCACAAAGTAGAGATTCGTGTTTCCCGAAACCCGAAGTAGCGGCAATCCGTATTCAATCAATGACAAGACAATTTCATTTAAATGATCAATCGAAAAGCTACATCTATCAGTCATGTTACGCGCTGTAGCTCGCTATCATCGTCTTTATTACGTCAACACCTTGGAACAAGAATCTGGCCTCAGATGGCACGGCTTTAGGAAGGGATGCGCAACGCTGGCCAACTGACTAAGCAACGCCGATGAACCATGGTCGGCCTGCGCAACGGAACGGTCTTCTTGGGTGTTGAATGAAGCGGTCGACCTGTTGTAGCGCAGATGGCTACGAACCAGGTGACCGGCACTGAGAGCCGACAACAATGACAGTTCACCGGCCATAACGGTAGCGCAGATTACTCTGGCCAACTTCTTCGAGTTCATTCCTGGCTGAGAAACATGGCCTCCGGCGCAGCCCAGCATCTACAGTACGGCAATGAGTACATTTGTATTTGTACGGTGGTAAGAAACAATCTGTGCATCACAAAAAAATACTCGACGAGAATCATGAAAACAAACATGTCAACAAATTTGATTGAGAAAATAACTGACTACATAGGACAGCGTTTCTGATTCTGAAATTGTGGACTGTTTGGTGATTCACGGTTTAGAGAGCCAAGCAAGAGAGATGTCAGCGGTTTGTTACCGACGCGTTTCGCTACAAACGCAAGGCATTACCAAGGCACAATTCTGATATGGCAGGAGGCAAGCCGCATAATTCATACAAGAATAAATTTTAAAATG